CGTTTCACGCACGGGGGTAAGTAGTACAATCCACCTAGCCCCTGGGCGAGCTTGCCTGTACCGCAGCAGACGGCGCCGTAGCAGAGATTGGAGGAGGGTTAGGGTAGGGTTAGGGTTAGGGTTAGGGAGGAGGGGGGGGGAGGGGGAGGGAGGGTAAAGGCCCTCGAGGCGAAAGCGCTCGAAGAAGCGGCTGTTTAGTCTTGTTGAGGGACTCGGAGGTGGAGGGGCTAGGGGGATAACAAGTACAACGCACGGCAAATTTCAATTGTGTACGGCGTTGGGGTGTTGCACGTGGCGAAGGTGAAGCCACCACGGTAGGCCCATCGCCAGCCCCTCTGCGGTGTTTTCCCTGCTTGAGTAAGCTTGGATTGATGATGTTCTACGCATGGTTTTTATGTGTTACTTGGTTCTGGTGTCTGTCTTTTGTTGATGTTTTTTTGCCATTCCCGAGGTAAAATGGTCGTGGTGGGCATGTCGCAGAAGCGTGGAAAAGAGCTTTGTAGCTTGGGGGGTTTCCCCAAGCATTGCTGTATACTTCAAGACTTCAAAACCAACTACGAATGTCCCCAGCCCATCACAGCTATTTTTCGAAGTAGCAATCTACTTCTTCCGGTTCCGGATGTACATTATGTTTTCTCAATTTTGCCAACCTACTCTTCTAACAGGGTCCTTTGTGCACGTGCCGTAAACACCAGCACACGTAAGCACACGCAATTGAGGGGGAGGAAAGCAAGAAAACCTGCACAAAATGTATCGCGAAAAAGAAAAACTTTTTTGGCGGCCCTCCGGGGGGGGGGAGGGTGTGCGGGATAATTCTTATTGTGCTTGCATGACCAAAAATGCCAGACCCCCCCCCCCTACTCTGTCCTCTCGAGGACGCGTAGTCAATGGTCTAACCGCTGGGGCATGCAAAAGATAAGAGTACGTCCCCCCCCCCGCCCCCACGGAGGCCCACTGGGGTAGACTAGTTGCCATGAACTTGGGTTCTCTCCGTCCACTCCTTTCAATTATTTCGATGACCATGTTGTGTGGGGTCGAGAGCCCTCACATTTATTTTGATCGGTTTCCTAGGGCTCCTCTTCTCGACTGGTCGGTGCGGTAGCTGCTCTTTTCTTTTTATCATTTTGTTGTTCTTTTTGCGAGTGGTTTGTACTGTATTCTTGTTTTGTTTCCCCGCGGCGTCGTATGTGCCAGGTTTTGCGACCACGGGCTCCCCATTTTTTGTGGACTATAGAGGTAATGTGAGACAAACAACAACAAAAAACTCCGTGCAAAGGGGATGACCGCACCACGTTGTGTTTCATTAACCAAGCCCCGTCGAGGCTGTTGCACAGGGCCTTTACCTGTCTCTGTACGTGAAAGCGCCGGAAAAAAAATGAGACCATTCGCAGCAGTCATCCGTATGCCAGGAAGTACGTACAAGATACCCAGCACCTTTAGCAGGATGCAGCGCACCCTTCAAGGGACTCGCTGAGTACCTCACGGCGCTTCGCGCTTGGTGATGGCGAGCCTGGTCCTGTGAGGACCCGGCGTGCCCCGTCCCTGCTTTGTAGGGATGTGAGGTCCATCGTCTAATGACATCGGCATGCACGATTTTGAGTACCCCCCCCACCTCCCAGGAGAAAAGTAAGTGGGCTGAAACGCCTGGAATTTCTATCGATAGGATAGATAGTATAGGGAAAGCATAATTTGAACCACCGTTGGCATGGTAGAAATGAACGATTAGCCATCAGTGATCGGTCCTGTAGGCGCGACGGCCACCTGTTGGTAAAATCGCCGCCCACCCATTTGGAGGGGTGGACACCGGGAGGTAAACATGATGTGCGAATAGTAGAAATAGGGTTAGGATTTGGGAAAGTTTGGAGCACTTGATGCGGCAACTTTCTACTGCCGGGTGCGTGGTGGCAACGTGTCTGCCTTGGGGCCGATGGCAGGTAGCCAAGCAACCTTACACACAAACAGCGAACCCCATGAGGGCCACGTCTAGTAATATGTATTTTTCGTCGCCCATCACCCCACCACAAGCCCAAGTAGTAGTGAAAGATCTGCATTCCGTGCTCAAGGTTTCTGAAACAAAGTGAAGAGAAGAAGTCCAGCTCCGTCGTGCCGTGTTCTGCACTCCAACACCAAACCCAGGTAGCATGGGATGCGACGCTTAACAGAAACGACATGCTTAACCACGGTGCAACATGCATTCAATATATTTTCATTCCAGCTCAAGTCCTCGATGCATGAGCCATGCCACACCGCATGACCAGTGA